ATTTTCCCCAAAATTCAAATGCTGCGAAAAACAAGGATTTTAAGGAATATTACGTTTTACTCTTCCCTCCTATTGTTCTCAATCTTTCCTCCCATCTTTAATTTAGGTACCAAAAATGGCAAAAATTCAATGCGCTATTTTGACCCCGATCATACGCTGCAAAAAACGTCGCAGCGGGGTTTGTCCCCGCGATGCCCCCTTGCGGCCGGCCATTCCAGGCCTAGCCTCGGAACGGGCTGAAATGACGGTCCCTAGTTATGCCGGAAGTGGCTACCCATTTCGCCATCTTTGAGGGTTTCTCGTAAGGTTCACTGCGCCCAAAATCAGGGGTGTCCTGAGTACCCCTAAATTTTGCCGCCTGGTCAAACAAAAGTACCGTCAAAACACGTACTTGTCTTTGGGCCTAAGTCCCCGAAGCCCCGGATTTCAGGCGGCCCATCCCTTGTGGCCGCCTGACAGTTAGACTGAACCTCTTCTCGACGCCCCCGTCGAGCCCTAACCACTTTCATCGAACGAAGCGGACAAGCTTTAATGTGATTGCGCGTAAAGGACGCCCACGTCGACGTTTAATTGTTTTATGTTTCAGTTTGTTATGAGTTTTGGGGCTAAGAAGATGTTTCTTGACTTTCCTTTTCCTTCGGGATTTTGGCCTGGGTAGGATTCTCTTTTCCTTCTGATGTTGGCCCGAGAAAGGTGCCGATCCGCCAGTTTGTCTAATGCGAACTCTCCGTCTGGCCCTCTTGAGCACGAATAACCATTTTTTCTCTCTTCCTAATGCCAACCCTTTGACCTTTCTTCTCTCCACTCTTTTCCTCTTCTTGGAACTTTTCCCTCTCGAGGAGGCTCCATCCTCCATTTTGACCTTCCCTTTCCCTTTCGGGACTGGCAGCGATAAGGTGGGTGCAGGTCTTGGTCTAAACAACTTTAACCTAGCACCCGCCACTGGGTCCTTCCACTTGGATCCGTCTAATTTTGCTATCATATAGGCACCCCAGTCGAGCGCCTTAACCACTCTCTAAGGTCCCATCCATCTGTTGGCGAGTTTTCCGGTCCAGGTCCTTTCTAGTGCCGCGCCGTAGAGAAGGACCATATCTCCTACGCTTACCCATTCTTTCCTGATCCGCACGCTCTTATCCCATCTCTCTTTACCTTTGTCCTTCTCCACTGCCAGACGATCTGCCGCTGTCATAAGGTTGTCTTCCAAACCGTAGTTCGCGCAGCGATGAGTTCTTCTCTGGACATCCTTTCTGCCCAGTCGACGGTTGTCCAGCTGTCGACGTGAAACTCTGTAGGGAGAGGACAATGTCGTTCGAACCACAACGTGTATAGTGGGTACCTAGTGCTAGCCCGGACCGTGAGGTTGTCCGCCCATATTGCGTATCGAATGTATTGTGGTGAATCGTTGTCCTTACCTTTGCACCACTTGGATAGTGACGCTATCAAAGTCTGGTGTCCCCTCTCTACTGGAGAGTTCGACTGTGGGTGGTAGGCGGTGGCTATCGAAACTCTCGCCCCGGCTCTCTTGAACACACTCCGAACCTCGTCAGCTAGAAATTTCACCCCTCTATCCATCACTATCTTGCTGACACATCCATACCTAGATAAGTACTCTAGGACGAAGTTCTTCACTTCCCTTGCCGACCTACTTCTGATAGGTTTACCGTCCACGAACCAAGTGAGGCCGTCTCGTATATTCACAACATAGTTCATATTGCCTACTCCTTTTGGCATGTTCACCAGATCGATGTGTACCTTCTCTCCTGGCCTGGTCGGATAGGATGGATGAAGTGCCTCTTTGTATTTCACAAGAGCTCTCTTCTGAGACTCCTCGCAGGTTATACAGTATCTCTCGACGTCCTTGTACTGTCCTTCCCACTAGTAAAGCCTGCGTACCTTTTCGTAGGTCCCTTTGACTCCTCTATGTCCTCCGACTACCCCGTCGTGAAGCTCCGCAACTATCGTCTATCTCTCCTCAGGATCATAAACTACTCGTAAGGGCATCCTCGACATGACTGGTCTACGGAATTGATGCCCAGCTCTAAGGCAGTATTGGGCTGCTTGTCTCCGGATATCTGAATCTTGACTCTCCTCACCCGACAAATGTAGCCTGATAATTCGGTATTTCCCTTCGTAAAGGTTAACCAAAAATCGATTGGTGCGTCTCGGCTCCGCCATTGTCAGGGTTCCAACTACTATCGGGCGGTCGGCATCAAAAGGGATCCGAGAAAGCTCATTCGCCATGACATTTTCAGTACCCGATATTCTCTCAACTGTGTAATCATAGAGTCGAATCGGTATCAACCATCGTGCGATGGTCGGGTCCATCGGACTAAAGTCCTTCGGGAGCAAAGAGGCAACCGCTGTGGGATCTACTCTCAAGATGAACCGTCGTCCGTAGATATAGTGTCAAAACGTGTCTAGACATTGCAAAATAGCTAACACTTCCTTCTTGAATTGACTGTAGTTACGCTCAGCCGTATTAAGTGTCCTACTCTCAAATCTTAACGGTCTTCCCTTCCCTTCAGCGTCCTTCTGAGACAGCAGCCCACCAACTGAACAAGGTGGAACATCCGTGGATACTACGAAGGGTCTCCCGGCCTTATTATCAAAGTATGGCACGGCCAGTACACGCCCCCCCTCCTTAAAGTCATCTTTAAGCTCTTCCATAGCGAGTTACTAAGAAGAATCCTAGTAGAATTTCTCAGTCTTCTGAAGGAGTATCCTCAATGGCTCAGCCTTCTCCGCATACCTGCGTATGAAAATCCGCCAGTAATCAACCACTCCCATAAATTGACGGACCTCGGTAGCACTATGCAACGACGACGACCAATTTAGGAGTTTGTCTAGCTTTGCAGGATCCGCTCAGCGTCCTCTTGAGTCGTAGATAAAGCCTAAGATCTTAATAGTCGAGACGACCCACCGGCTCTTGGTTCCGCTGAACGTCAAATTTGCATCATCCAGCTGCTCAAGTATCGTGCAAATATCGGTTTGGTGCAGCTCGACGAATCTTCTAACTCCTGGCACAACCTCTGTCTCATCTTTCTTTACTGGTCCTTTTATAGGAAACTCATCGAGAAAAACTTCAACCGTATTAGGAATAAAGTCCTTGAGGAGGGCTACCATGGCTCTCTGAAAAAAACAGCTACCTCATTAGTCCAACCCATAGGGACGACCATCATCTGTATCAGTCCCTATGACGTGTGCATAGCCGTGAGGTGTCTGTCCCTGGGATCAAGCTGTACCTCATCATAACCAGAGAACAGATCACAGACCGAATAAATCGACCTGCCCGCAGCGCCTTCAGCCAGTAAGTCGGCGTGAGGCACGGGGCCTACGTCTCGAATCGTCACCGCGTTGACCTTCTGAAGGTCCTGGATGCATCGGATCTTGCCATTCCGCTTTCGTAGGAAGAACCATCGATTAGCATAAGCGCTGTCAGATGGCTCTGCAACATGAGAAGCCATCTTTTCTTTCAGGAAAGCGATAACCTCTTCCTTCTCCTTCTGGGCGTATTTCCATCCTGCGTCATTCCATGGAACATGTGGAATCGTATAAATCCTTGCTGGCTTAGCTTATCGAGGGTCAACCCTACCACGCTCCGCGTCGCTGAAAGCTATAACCTTATCGCACGTCTTTAGGATTTCTATCACACGTTCCCGCTCCTGTGGGGTCATGTTCCCATCTCCGATGTCCATCCTTGCTATCCTCTCTTCCGTTAGGCGTTGCAACTCTTTTTTCTTTCTTTCTTTTATTTCCTTTGCGATTTCTTATTCCGATATCCCTTCCAGTGCAGATCGTTCGCGGCCCACCGCCGTTGGCTTAACTTTCTGAGCTACTCGCTTGTGTCGCTTGGGTAGCCCCCCATAGGGGGCCGTGCCCTTTAAAAAGACACAGATATCACGCCGCCAAACTCCTCATATGCCTCTTTTGGATACGCGTTGCCATCTAGTATCAGCCGACTCCCTAAATCTTCCACTTCTACAATCCGGTCTTCTTCTTCTGTGAGAAGAGGTCCATACTTCTTCTCGCAAAATCGCACCTCGCGGCCGGAGATAGGTAATGACTTAATCCGATCATTGGGTCCCGCACCCACAGCAAGAGCTGCTCTGTTCCTCGGGTCTCGAGGCTCCACCATCTCAATCATAACCCGCGTTCCATCTAGCTTCTTAATGAACAGTTTCTAGCTCCCGTCCGGTCGCTCTATCGTCACCGGATGCACATGGCTCAACCACGCCCGTCCCAAGAGCAGGTCAGAGTTGCAGTTCTTGACTGCAAAGACTGGCAGGGTCACTCTTACCCCTTGGACCTCTATGGGTGCCTTGTGACAAACTCCTGTGATCTATTGCTTTCTCCCATCAGTCGTCTCTATCTCGAATACTTATGACCTATCGAGTCCCAGTCCAACTCGCTCTGCCACATCCTCGTCTATAATGACAGCCTCACTGCCGTAATCGATCACAACATCTAGAACCGCTCCGTCGTTTAGGATCACCTCCACGGTCCCACTTCCAAGTATGTAAAACTTGTCTGGAGGTATGCCTTCCATCCCATCAAGAAGAACTGTCGCCATGCGATCTGCTCTAGTTGTCACCTTTGATACTGTTACAGTAGGAGCATCCGTCTTAGGGGCCACCTGAACCTCCTCCGATAGAGGTATGCGAGTCTTCCGCGTGATCATCTGTAACTCGTCGCGAGCCGGTTTGGATGCTGTCAGATATTCCAGAATAGAGCACTGCATGGGCTACCGAAGGTCCCGTCTCAGGGGCCCGACCGTGTCAATATCATTCAGCGAACTCTTCATCAATAACTTCTTTACTCCCCGCTTTCGCAGTGAAAGAATAAACTCCTCTTCTTCGATCCGCTGTCCGTCCTTCTCTGCCATCACGTAATCAGTGTCAGTCTTCCTCGATATAGAGCCTCTCGCCGACTTGGTAGCTGCCACCGTTATGGGTGTGGTTGCCATGTCTCCTTCAAAAGCTATCTTGATGCTTTGGCTCCTAACTGGCTCCTTTCCTTTACTCGGCTTTACTCTCCTTGCTTCTACATTCTCCTTCATCGAAGAGAACATTGATACATCTCCCAGATTATCTGCCTACTTAACGTACTTGCGGTCATCAAGCACGACAAGTCCCTTATCTATTGCCCGTTTGAGATCCGGACAGTCTCTCTTGATATGATCATCCCCTCTACAGTAGACGCAAGAGTTTCTCGGAGTGCGCGACTTGTCGTCTGCGCTCCTAGAAGTCGAACCCTTGGCTGCTCTGGCGTCAGGGGACTTTGGATACGGATCAGTCGACGCGCCATATCCCCCTCTCTCATTTCGTCCGCGCGAATTATTGCAGCGGTCTCCTCCAGATCCTCCTTGCTCATATCGTCCCCGTGAATCATTCCGGCGGTCTCCATGGTCGTATCGCCCGCGTGACTCATCGCGTCGATCTCCTCGGTCGTACCACCCCCGCGAATCGTCATGTTGTGCCCTCGCGTATCCCCCGCGATCATACCATCCATGTGAGTCATCTCGTCGGTCTCCGTCTCGATTTCCTCTCTCATACCTGCCACCCCTGTATCCATCTCGGTCCGTCCTCTCATATCTGTCGTCCCTGTATCCGTCTCGTCGGCCCTGATCTGACTCCCACCTACCTCGAGAGTCGGCTCTACCCCCATCAGCCTCATAACGAGGGCTACGCGAGTAATCATCCAACCTCCTAGCTCGTCCATACGTCTCGCGAGCCCTGCGGTCCCGGTCTATCTCATCATCCCTACGTCGCCATGGCTCATCGTCTCTCTCCCTTTCCCTCGCACGATAATCAGTTAGCGTTCGAGGATTTCTATCCTCGACACTATTCCAGGAATCGGTGTTCCTACGGTCCCAACGAAGTGAATAAGGCCCTCTGAGTTTGTCCCGATAAGTCGTGGCTTCTGTGCTGGTCACAATCTGTGTAACCTGTCTTGTCAATCCCTTTACCATGTCCCTTATCTCCTTCACTTCCTCGGCCACGGCTTCATTCTTTTCCGACCAGGGATAGTTCTTGAAATCAGGACATCTATCAGTGGCATACTCCTTATACAGAGAGAAATCACGCCTCCTCATTCCTCTCCATGCCAAGTCCTTATAGTCGTTTGCCTCTGCCTTTATCGCGAGCTTTGGGACTTCAGGGAAGTCAAGCTTGTCGCGCAGGAGATCTCTAAGTATACTCTTCTGTCTGTCTTTGGACAAGTGCCCAATGAAGATAGTACAGCGCTCGACCTCTGAGATCTTCCCCTTCTTCATCAGCACGTCAGAGATCTTCTGGAAACGCTTCCCAAATGCCCGTACGCTCTCATCTTCATCTTGAGTCATAGTCTCAAGGTCCTTGATGGAGATCTTGTTATCCTCTAATTTCTAAAGTTCAATGAGGTTCTTCTTATACGTAGTCCATTTCCCATCCTTCGGTCGAGCTTCCTTAACTTCCTTGTCGAGACTTGGATCTACATTAAATATGAAGTTTTCTATAATCTCTTCCTCCGACCACTGACTCCGGCTAGCATAAAGCTCCCACTTCTCCAGATATTCTGTGATACCATAGCCCCTAAAGGTAGGAGGCTCAGAGGCCTTTTGCGTAATAATATAGCGATCCCTGCTCTCGTAAGGAAGAGGATGTGACTCCCCCGTCTGGAGGTCAAAGACACGCCGCGGCGGTGCTCTATCCCTATCTCTGTCCCTCCAATAGGAATCTCGTGAACTCTCTCTCCAGTCGTCCCCATGCCTATCCGCCCTGGTTTCCCTCCGTTCATACTCGGGGGAGCGTCGTGTCATCACTTCTCGTCGAGCACTCGAGGTCCCAGTCTTCAAAGTCTCCTCCGGCTCTGTCACAACCGGCTCGCCTATCACGTCGGGTTCTCCGTCATTGGTTTGGTCAGCCCATCTTAGCGGTGCTCCTTGCCTAATTCGTTCCTTCAGATCCCTCTGTGCTCGGTCGGGCGATGTCATATACTCCTCTCCTGCTTCGCCCGTGGTCGGTTGTGGCCCCATCGTGTTTGGTTCAATAGGCTACCAGAAGTTGTCGTCGGGCACTTACGCCAGGCGTTATAGCCCGGACCTATGACTGTTGCAGCAGCCCGGACCTGTGACAGAACTCGCATCCCGGACCTGTTTACTTGTTACGGTTCAGGCTCGTTTCCAATCCTAGTTCTCGACTGCCCCGATAACTGCCACCATTACTCTGTTCCGGTCGAGGACCTCGTGCTCACCTTCTATCCCGAAAATCCCTGTGTCTATGTAAACCTCTCCTTCGGGATCTGCCAACAAGGTTGCGCCTTCCCTGATCTCTCTGACCTCCACTATCTTTCCAAGAGCTTCCAATCTTTGTTTCCCCTCCTCTTACTCTCAGAAAGCTATATGGTCATATGTGTAGCATCTGAGGAAAGTCAGTGCTATAGTCGCTCGTAATCTCATCGCGGACAACTCCAATATATCATAGAACGCCTCAAATTATTCCTCATCTCCACTATCCTCTATGGCCTCTAAAGTCTTTATCGATTCCCTCCAGTATCGGTCGTGAGCGGTTAACACCCTGAGTATTGCTCCATCTGCTATAACTCTCCCTAGCTCCCCAGCTTTCCTTGCTTCGCTTATCTTCAACCTCTCAGCCTCTCTGGACGTCTCGTACCACGTCCTTATCTGAGGCCGCCCTTCGAAAGGTGTTACGCGAAGTACGTATTTTATCCTCCATCCTCCTTCCACTCCTATCCAAAGTCTTGTTCCCCTAGCCTCCCGAAGTGCACGGCGAACATACTCTGCCTCCTCAACTATGCACAACCTGGTATGGAGCTGGAGCTCTGCGATCACTAACACCGACGGTCCTTCCAGTTTCCCTAACACTTGCAATGACTACCTGTCCGTCGTATGTAGTGAAGTCCCGCTCATGTCCTGTTGCTATCTCCCTGCGTTACCTTGTCCTCCGTTGTTTCGTCCTCTGCAGACTTTTCCTTAGCTCCTTCGCGCGATAGGTTCCTAGTCTTTACCCTCTCCAGAAAGTCTGATCTCCACGCCTGGATAATCTCTCTATCCTCCCTGAACAAACTCTCTAACTCTTTTGTCGCGAGCTTAACCCTACGCAGCTTGCCCTCATCCTGGCAAGACCCGATCTCCCTAATCTTGTTTCCCAACTTCTTTACCCGGTTCAAGAGTGGCTTTTTAATGCCCTCTCTCACTCTTCTGACCACCTCACTCTCCTCTTCCATACCCTGTGCTCATTTTTTTCCAGCTCATCCTCATACCCTCGCTCTAGCCTCCGCTACCGTCTCATCGTGGTAGTGCTCCGCGCGCATATAACCATGAGACCATATCATCACATCATAAGAAATTGAGGTCTGGAAGGTCACCTGCGCAAGTACATCAGCTCTATGCTCGCGGATCAATTCCCTGACTCGTAGTCGGCACTCCCTCACCGTCAAGTCCTCATTTATGTATGCTCGGAGAACCACCGTCACAGTGTACCCTGTGCTTACTAGTTGCTTATCTAAGCGCACCACAGTTGTCGTTCTCCCCGGCATTCCCTAAGCTGCGACCTCGAAGAGAAACCTTACATCCTCCAGCCCCACATAATCAATCTCCGCTCGTCTCCTGCAGTACCTAATCAGATCGACTGACCTCAGACAGTCCACCCAGCAAGTAACGTCTATGATGTCGTGAAGCGCCTCTCTGCTGGGTGGCCCCCACCTTACACAAATGGCGTAGTATGCTTCCCTGAAATGGGGAGCTAAGCCCTCCCAAAGCGCGTAAAGTGTGTGGTCCACTGCTACACTCAGACAGTCTACGCTCCCGTAGGTCTGCCCTATTACGAACGCAGGAAGTCCAAATCGCCAACCCTCTTCCGGATAGAAGGTCGGATGCGGAGCTCCGTATACCAAGCGACTCCAGTACGACCTTCCTCCAGAGAGCCTCGCCAGTTGCTGATTAACGATCACTCTGGCCAACAACTCGTTTCTCCACTAAGCCCTGCTAGCCCCTGTGAGTGTCACTCCTATGTCTAAATCATGAGCTCTGTCCGTTATCAGATGTCCCACCCCTTTTAGGTCATGAGCCCTTTCGGGTCGTCTATCTTTCAGTATCACCGTCCAAAAGAAAAGTCCCTCTGCCAGCCGCGTTCCAAGGTAACGTATCGGAACACAGCCTGTCTCCTCCAGCCTCACAGGAAGAGGAATATCATATCCAACAACCGTTTCTCTGGGTCTTACAAGTTTCCGCACGCTATAGGATTCGGACTCTCGTGAGAGAACATAAGCTAGCCAAGCTTCCGAGCCACTCCTCATCTCTCAAGCTAACTCATCAACTCAAGTCGCCCAATCCCTATGGGCTAAGTCCTTAACAACAGACCCTCTTGTCACTTCGCTCTCAGTTCCAGCCCGTGACTCGCGGAGCAGGAATCCCTTTGTCTCTCGCTGAACTCCGTCCCCAGATGCGGCCAATGGATGTTACCCTCCTTAGGCCCGTCCTTTGGCCAGTCCTCCAATCGCGCAGGAAGAGGTATGTCGAACCCAAGCGCCGTCTCCCTAAGCTCTGTTAGTCTTCTCGTCCTGGTAGGAGCCTGTATCTAGCAATAGGACATACGCTCCCCACGCAGTCGTATCACTCCTCATTTCCCCACGCTACTCAATGTGTGCCACTCTACTCCCTTCGATGCACTCGTTCTCACGATGCTACTGACTCCTCAGACAACTCTTCCACTCAGGCTCAGTATAGTCGAGCAGGTGCTATGCACTCTCCCGTCAGCTCCATGAAAGTATATGGTATACTTGACGTATCTCTGGTCTCTCCGTATCTCCAAAGCATCCTCGGTCATGAGTGTGATTCGTCGCGCAACATCGTTCATCGCCTCTTCTTCCCATCCCCCTATCCTATCTCGTCGCAAGGAAAGGGTCACTCTTAGTGTGTCTCCATCCGCCATCTCTACCAGCGCTTATCGCAACTCCTGTCTCGTCTAAAAGTTCTCTCTCTTTGTCTATTAACCGACACCCTCCTACTTCCCTCACTATACTATGCCCGGATATGCCCTATCCTTAATCGTCTCCCGCGTCTGGCATACCCTCGTCCATGTCCTCGTCTCCGTCTGCATCCACAGTCCGGCCCCAGGGTATATGCTCCTGTCCCTCGGCCTGAACCAAATGCCCCCAACCGTCGTTATCTGGTCTGTCTAAATCAACGCCAAGGTCGTCTCGCCCAGCGTCTGGCACGTCTCTCCACGGTCTCTCGTCCTGTCCCCAAGGCTCTGCGTTGCTGAGGTGTTCCCAATCTCGATCATCGACGTCCCAGCCAAGCTCCTCGCTGTCTGGATATATCCCCTGGTAATGTTGATCCAACTCCCAGATAGAGATGAGGGAAGCAGGCCTATCACGGGGAGTCTCGCTAAAGAGTCGTCCGACCCCCTCCAAACTATCCACTGGTCCTTGGACCACCCTATTTAGTGCCAGCCAGAACTCCAAGGGCTGGCCCGGGAAAAAGGAGTGGGGGTCTGCTATAGGCGCTAGAGTTCGTAAGAACTCAATGAGCTATATCCCTCTCTCTCCAGTAAGAGGTCCGCCTACGAACTATGCGTAGGCAATCCAGTCCCAGTCCGTCTGCCCTCTGGCTGGTTCGTCGAGCTCTAAAGCCGCGAAATATCTCTCCACGACGCACCCCAAGCCCCAAAGTTGCTCCACTACAAAGACCGGGAACCTGGCGCGCAGTCGGACTCTCGGGAAAGCAAACCCTCCTATCCGAAACGTAGTCCTCGTCTCTCTGACAGGCCCATACAGATCCTCAATCCCCTCTTGTGCACTCTCTATCTTGCCCGTCAGGATTTCTCTCACCTCTCTCTCATGCCGCCAGAACCGGTGCACCAAGCCCTGGAGATAGACGCCGCCGCTCACCTCACGTGAGTAATAAATATGCCCTACGGCCTCTATGGACGTCGTGCCAGGCGCCCGCCACCTCTGCGGATCAGACTCGTAGGTCTGAACAGTATATGACCATAGGTGCATGCCTGGCCCCAACCGAGTCGACCGCCAATGGTCAATCAGCCCTGGCTCAGCGACGCATCTGGCCGGTAGATCAAGCTCTACCAAGTCGGGAGCTATGATCTCGGGCGGTCTAGGCCATCCGAAATCACCAAAGGGTTGGTGGAATCTCTCGATCTCCTCTACCATCTGCCTGCAGGATCTCCTATCTCTCTCGCACACTCTCCTGCCGAATCTCACGGCTAGCCTAGCTCGCACTCGCCTCGCCTCACACTCCGCCTAGGCCCTAATTGGTACCCCTATGCGAGGGAAGTGCGCGTCCACCGTGTCGTCCTCCTCCTCCTCGTCAACCTCACTCTCCGGGTCGACCCAGTCCGGCTCCCAGGCGTCCTCGTCATCCTCTCGCTCCCAACCCTCGTTGTCGAACTTGTCCTCGACGCGATACGGCACCTGTCCTATAGCCTGGTAATACTCCGCCAACTGATAGCCGTGTACAAGAGGTCGCCCAGCGTCCTCACTCCACCAGCTACCCCAGTCG